AAATTATACTTTTTGAGTTAGACTTTCATGTAAATATACAACCATAACATTTTTATTGTATGTAAATGAATATGAAAATGTAACTTTTTCTTGATAATAATGACACATTCACAAAATCTTTTGGTAATAGAAAGTCCATGGGGAAGATTTCATTCCATAGTTCCCTGAGCACAGCTTAGTTACCTGCCCTAAGTCTTCATTAGACTGTCACTTTTTCACAACTTGGATCCAGCAATATTAGGCAACAGAATGAGAAAAATAAATAAATTTAGAGAGATTGAAAAAGAAAGGGGGAAAGAAGAGACTAAGCTTTTCCATTTAGACTGGGGAAAGGAATATAATAGAGAGAGGGTGATGGTATTGTTAAGCTCCAGGAAAGTCGATTACAACAGAATGGTTTAATGGTGGCTTGACTTAGTGCAAGGGTAGGCAACCTTGGCTCTTTTATGATTTGTGGACTACAACTTGCAGAATTCCTGAGCCAGCTTGGCTGGCTCAGGAATTCTGGGAGTTGAAGCCCACGAGTCATAAAAGAGCCAAGGTTGCCTACCCCCGACTTAGTGTAAGCTACTGCTATTGCTTTGAGCAAACTGAGGAAGGGTGTGCAGTCACATATGTCAGAGTGAACTTTCAAAAGAGGCCAAGTGAGGATTAGATAAGAGTGGGGGAGGAAGGGAAGGCGGGATGTTGTTTGGCAGAAGAGATTCCTCATTATCCTTTTCCTTTACAATTCCCTCTGTCCAGATTTTTACGTCTGGTCTGCAAGGACAGACATAGACAAGTTGATATTTGAATGTTCATCACAAAAACTATAAATAAACAATAAATTAAAAAAATTAAAAAATCTAAATTAGGCACTTTGAAAAACCAGTGGGAGGAACAAGGAAGTGTCATAAGAGTATTTCAAAAGAGAGGTAGCACAAACATTTCATCAAATTTAATTTAGTTAATTGTTTCAGATTTAAAAATCACTTCTACCCATCTTGTAAGCATAATCACTAGTTTTAAAAAGAAAGTGAGATAAGGCCAAAGTCAAGAACACAATACATTTAAAAAGCAAATGTATGACTTTCAGCTTTTTGAACACCTCCTGCTTCTCTCTTAATTTCAGCCTTAGCTCTGAGTATATTTATTCTTATTAGTATTTATTATGGTTGCCCACTCCAAGGTTCTGGGCAGCTTCCATCATCAAAATATACAATTATAATGATTTAAAACATGACAACAAAACATAGCACAGACCAGAATGCAATCATAACAATAAAAAATATGACAGAGCCTCTGCAAACACAGTAAATCCAGGCCTGGGAACAAAACCAGGTCTTAAGGAAGGTAGACAACTCCAGGAGAGTAGACACCTACTGTATTCCAGAGGGCAGGGCTGCCATATAATTACTCACATGCTATACTAACTAACCATAATACAACAGAATCCTATGTATGGTTATTGAGATGGGAGACCAGACTAGGGCTTCACTGCCTGGTTAGGAATGCAGCCTTGATAAACAGCACTGTATATTAAAAGCATTGCTAGTTCAAACCAAGATTCATTTAATTCAATGTTCTGTAGTGCAAAGTGGTCAACTGGATATCTCCTGGAAGTTTGTAAGAAGAAAATTATCATGATTTGCTTTAGTTTTTTTCCCTTGTTCTTGTTGCTTTCAGAGTTTGCTTCAGGCATTTCATTTCCCAATTAGATACTGTAATATCATCTGCGAGTCCTCCTACGAGTCCCTTGGACTGCAAGGCGTTCAAACCGGTCAGTCCTAGAAGAGATCAACCCTGACTGTTCTTTAGAAGGCCAGATCCTGAAGTTGAAACTCAAGTACTTTGGCCACCTAATGAGAAGGAAGGACTCACTGGAGAAGAACCTATTGCTGGGAAAGATTAAGGGCAATAGAAGAATGGGACGACAGAGAATGAGGTGGCTGGATGGAGTCACTGAAGCAGTAGGTGTGAACTTAAATGGACTCCAAAAGATGGTAGAGGACAGGAAGACCTGGAGGAATGTTTTCCATGGGGTTGCGATGGGTCGGACACGACTTTGCAATTAACAACAACAACGTCATCTGATATGTGAAAGTTACTTGGTATACTAATAGAAGAAATGTATATTTATTTTTTAATTTGGGACTAGAATAAATATTTCCTAAACATCCAATTCTAAAAATATGTATGCACATATTTGAACTACACACCAATTAATATTGGTAGTTGATATATGTCATTAGAACAGTTATATCCTTAACTAAAATTTCCAGAAGCTTACTTTAATGACTAAGCTGTAGGCAAACTTGATATTTGAAGATATACTACCTTGCTCAGGTGAGATTTGGTTGCCACACAGTAACATAAAATCACCACCTACTCACTCCATTTTTCTGTCTCTCAAAACTGCAATGCTTCTCTCTAGCCAGAATTGCAAAAGCAGCTCTAGAATCAAACCAGGGAGAACCTTAATTATTTAATTTGTTCTTGTGCTACCCACTTTGTACCTTGAAAGACATCTTGAAGTAGTGTATGTTACCAGCAATGTGTGAAGAGCTGACATTGTATAGTATCCCTGGGAACTCTACAGAATGCATAATGTTTTTAGGCAAAGTATGAAATGCCTGTATTATTTTAATATGCTAGATCAATGGTGGCGAACCTGTGGCACAGGTGCCAGAAGCGGCACCCGGAGCTCTCTCTATGGGCACACGTGCTGTTGCCCCAGCCTTGCCTCCCCCCATGACACCCTCCTCACCAGCAGCCCTCCTGGAGAAGGGTCGCCCCCGAGCACGGCCCACGCAGAGCAGTTCAATCAAGGACATGGCAGCCAGGCAGCATAGACAAGATTCTGCCCTCACGCCATGGGCAGAGGGCATGGCGGCCATAGTGCTGATGGGTGAGAGCGGGCCCTGGAGGCGATGAGTGGCCCTGCGGGCAGGCAGGTTGGGGGCAGGGCAGGGGGTGGAGTGGGGGCGGGGCCAGTTTTTGGGCACTCGGTCTAAAGAGCTGAGGTGGTGCAGCAGTTAGAGTGCAGTACTGCAGGCCACTTTAGCTGACTGTGTTCAGCAGGTCAGCGGTTCAAATCTCACCGGCTCAAGGTTGACTCAGCCTTCCATCCTTCCGGGGTAGGTAAAATGAGGACCCAGATTGTTGGGGGCAATGTAAATATATATATACATTGCTTACTGGTGTACATCGCTTAGAGAGTGCTTGTACTTAAAGCTGTATATAAGTCTCATAAAATAAATAAATAAATAAATAAATAAATAAATAAATAAATAAATAAATAAATAAAAGGTTTGCCATCACTGTGCTAGATACTTTCCCTAGGTATAATGCAAAATGACAAGAACTATTTAGGCAAAGTATGTAAAGAGAATCATGAAAAGGGTTAGAGTTAGGGCTACGGGTTAGAGTTAATCCTAACCCTAATCCTAACTCTATCCCTTCATTGAAAAGACTTATATCAAATTGAAAGAAGACATTTCTTATTGAAAAAAACAAGAGAAAAAGACCAATATTTACCTCTTGAAGTAGTGTATGTTACCAGCAATGTGTGAAGAGCTGACATTGCATAGTATGAGAATAATAAGTAGAATAATAAAATTGAGTTAAAATTAAGAAAAAAAATTAAAAAATACCTAAAACACTAAATGCAAGAGGCTGAGATATTTAAAGAGGGCTGTCCTATTCTAAAAATATTTGATTCCTTTACTCTTTTAGCAAAGGACTTTTCCTAGTTCTACTTGCCATATTTGTTGCCTATCATGGAACCCATTCTAACTGGTTTGCACAGCCTCCTGTAATACAGTTATCCAAGATAGATGCTCTAGTACCCCCTGTTTAATGCCAAATATTTTTTGTCAAATGTTTCTTTCCCATTCCTAGAAAATTGTGACTTTATTTATGCACCCAGAAACTGCATTCACTTTTTAAAAATCATGTTTTTAAGATTTTTTGAGATTTCATGCAACTCTTACTTTTTCCCCCCCTTTCCAAAGTGTGCATCCCTCATTCTGGGGTTTTCAAAGACAGGGATAATAATTTGACTGTCTCCACAATTTCATTCTGTTACGTTTGGCCTTGTTTACTATTCTACTTCACCCATTTTGAATACTGTTCTGAGGTGTTAACTACCCTTCCTATTTGACCATGAAACCAAGAAGATTATGGCAATTCATCAGCAGTACCCCTGGAAGGCTGATGTAACATGATAAGAGCCTGAAGTCAATTGATTCTACAACAACCTGCCAAATATTTTGCTGAGAAACTAGAATACTATTTCTTCTATTTCCATTAGCCTATTGTCTCTGTTTTCTACTTAAGAGATCTGTGGATCTATTAAGAAATGAAACAAATTTGAATAGAACTTACTTTATTAAAAATGGGAAGCAACTATTATCTGTCTAGTATGCTTTAAAATAATTTCTACTGAACCTGTTATGATGAGGCCACTTTGTACATCTCTCCATCTGAAAACAGAAAAACTGTGGTGTGCTTGGTGCTCTCTGAACTTGTTTGCTTGCAGATGTTGTGTTACCAGATGGCAGTACCTGCAGGAGCATTTTCAAGGATCTGTCCATATAATCCCTACCAGATGAGCTTGTCTTGAAGACTTTACTTTTTTCCTTTGCTAAATTATGAAGAGATCCTTAAATAAAGCCTCTGCTCAAAGATGTGTTTTTAATAGAGGAAAGGGAACAGTGACAGCCAAAAGAATAAACAAAATTGGGCACAGTAAGTTTAGTTTAGATTAATTGTTCTGCAAAAAGAAACCCATATGAAATAGGGTTACTATATCTGGAGTGCAAAAATCTATACAACAAGCCATCTAGTGATTGTTCGGAATTTTGTACAATCCTAATACTATATAGTTTTCCAAGCTACTGGAGAGCGTGTTCCAAAGTTTTGCAATTTTTTGATCCATTCGGCTTCCCGTCGAATTTCCGGAAGTATTGCAGTTGCTAAGCTGCAGGTTGCGAGGCAACCTGCGTCGCGTCCTTCTCGGCTTTGCCTTCTTCCAAGATGGGGGACAACGAGGGAGAAGTTTTGCGTGGGACTTTTCCCAGCCTCATGGCGGAAGGAACTATGCTTAGCCGGCGCGGGGAGCTCAGCAAAGCTCTGTCCTATTACACTTACGTGAGCATTCTCTATGTGGATATTCGGAGAAGTCGCTAGATGGACGGGGAGAAATGAATCTGCCTCCTAAGCAGGCAGGCAGATTTAACCGAGAGCTGGGAAAGGTTAATACTTGAGCGGGAATCCCATGAAGAGGAGTTGCAAGAGCCTTGTTTGATCTCCTTCCCATAGCAAAGCTGCACAGAGACGGGCCTCAAGTTGCATGGCAGGCAGGGGACTTGCATCCGGATCACCTGGATAGCCAGATCAGGTCCCCAGATGTGATAGGTCAAGTTCTGTGTGATTGGGGAATGCTGGGACATCGTAGCTGGAAGGAGGCAGTGAATTGCATCTAAACTCCAGTAATTACGAGGGGCAGCAAAAAGTTAGAATTTTCTGCCTGCCTTTACTGCACTCTGATTGTCCAGATATTTGTTATTTAGATATGCTATCTGAATAGAGAAGCCAGTGTAGGAGAGACTGTTCAACCCCCAGGGTCCTGCAAGTTTTCAAAGCTGGTAACAATTAATAGTGACAAAGCAAATTTCTTGTTCATTTTTCATTTGGTTCTGTGCTCCCTACTATCTTTGAGATGAAGCTTTCTTGTCAGTTAATATGCATGTTGCCGCAGTATTATGTTTCCTTTATTATTAGTTCTTTCTGTAAACACAAGTAGAGGAAAAGGATAAAAGAAGAAAAGCTGGAGAGAAAGTATTTTTCATGGTATTCATATCAAGAATAAGATACTTAAGACAGAGAGTATAGGTACTACAGAGAACATTATCACAACATCCAGAGTTTAGCAATAAATAACAATGGAGTGCAGCTTATAAATCATATAATACAATATATGCAAAAGAAAAATACATCTCCGTTTTCACCAGAGAAATAATGGGTATGAAATGCTCAGTTTATAACAGTAATAATATAAGGGAGATTGAAAACAATTGTTTTTATGGGTTAGGCCTTACAGCTTCAACCTGGTGACAGGAACTGCCTTGTTGCCCGTTCAAAATGCTACTTAAGACTTGGAGATACAGAAAATGCCCTAAAAGATGCAGAAGCCTCTCTGACTGCTGACAAAGAATTTACTAAGGTAAGCAGAGATATCTATTCCAACTCAAGAGGTTTCAAAATTTATCAAGGGTTATCTAGTGTGTTGCTAAAAGAAAGTTATATCTTTTTCCAAATTGTGGAAAAAAAATACTAGGTTAGAAAATCATATTGAAAGAAATGCAAATTAGACGTGCAAAGGGATAAATTGGAAGAATGTTTCTTAAAAAGAACTAATTAAATAAAATAGTATAGAGCTGGTAAGGGAGAGAGAAAATGTTCCTGAAGTGTACTCTAATTCCAGTTGGTCATATCTGATAAATTATTAGATGTTGGGACAAATGTATGTATATTTGCTGTTCACTTGCACGTACAATATATATGTCTTCCAACTTTTTTTCCCCAGTCCCATAGTTTTCCTTTCTGTTACAGGGATTGTATCAAAAAGCAGAAGCCTTGTATACCATGGGTGATTTTGAATTTGCTTTAGTCTTTTATCATCGAGGGCACAAGCTTCGCCCTGATTTGCAGAAATTCAGACTGGGTATTCAGAAGTCCAAAGAAGCAATTGAAAATTCAGTTGGAAGTAAGCAGTATGGTTTTCTTTGATATAAGGTTATTTTGTTTTATCTGTCAGACTTGAATGTGATAGAAAACGTATGAAAAAACCCCAGTCAAATATTGTGCTGTGTGAGGACTGCCTATAATACATGGTTTTCACTTCTGCAAAATATAAATGAACCAAAGAATTCATTTTGTTCTTTTCAAAACCAAATAAAGTATTAATGAAGCCTTCAAGAAGAACTTCCTTTGCAAGTTTTTTTATAGCCCATCTCATTATTATTTCCCATATTTTTAAAGGAAACAAATGGGATATTTTCAAAATTCTTTCTAAAAAAGATTCTGGTTCTATCTTCAGTTTGATAGATTGCCTTTCTTTCAGGAACACAAGGGATCATGTATAGTGTTCCCTCCTCCAATTTTTCTCTAAACTAAAAATATTTTTTAAGTGATTGAGAGACAATAATTGATCCAAAGTCACCCACTGAATTTCCATGATAGAGGGTAGACTTTAAGCAGGATAACACTGACCCTAATTCAATATTGTATTGTACACTGATTTGTATACTACACATCTAGATACGGCAATAGTATCTTAAGGAAAATACACTGGGGAAATAAAGATAATATGCCATTATACAAAATTGTGGTTCATCACACTTGAAATGTTTTGTGATATTCTAAACTATATTTTCAAAAAAAGTAAGGATATAGATTACCAGAGAGTTGAAACGTGTGTATATGTGTGTTTTAATAAGGTTGATATTCTTTCTTGCACATATTGTGGCTACTACTTGCAGTAGGTGCTTTTTAGGGCCTTCCTGACCACTTGCTATCTTCTCTGTCTGTAGGCCCATCATCCGTGAGATTGGAGAATAGAGCGGACCTCTGCTTTTTGAGTCGCCAGGCAGAGGTATGGTCTCTCCAGCTTTTTCCAAAGTGGTTATCTTGTGCCTATTCTAGGAGTAAATAGAAAAAGTGGAATGGGTTTCATGACATTGGGGCAGGTTAGATAATAAGAATGGTGGGGTTTTGCAATTCATTGACCTTTTTCTTGAACCATTATATGTAAGACCAGTAGCAATATCTTCATTCCTCTGAAGACTACTTTCATCCTATCCATTTATAAATAGTTTATATTATGAATATTAAAAAAACAATTGAAATTTCTATTTGCTTTTACTTGTTTTGCATAAGATGATATTTGATCAGTTATTTTTCCTGAGCCACTTGATCTCACCTGAAGGAAAACAATTTCCAAAGTTTGGATACTACTGATGAAGCTGAGGGTATACTATGTAGATAGACTACAGTAATCTATTGTACTGTATTGTATACCTGATCTGAAATATATAATATTCCATTATTCATACAATATTTTAATGGGGCAAAAATAGAGAATGCACCATGTAGAACCCAACAATGTCAGAACAGAAGGTCATGAGAATAATAAAAGCCGTTCACCTTGCCTAGACTGTGAATGTTTCAATCATATCCTTAAATTCCCTTCATTTAAATTGGATTTTTAAAATGCCAAATGTTTATCTATTTCTATTTATACTTGTCAACTGTTTAAATAGCTTCATATACATTAGCTAAGAATCTAGAGCAGGGGTGTCAAACTCAATTTCATTGAGGGCTGCATCAGCATTGCGGTTGCCCTCGGGGGGGCTGGGTGGGTGTGGCCAGGGTGGGTGCGGCCTACTGGGTGGGTGTGGATAGAGTGGGTGTGGCCTAATGGGTGGGCGTGGCCAGCTCTACATTGTTTGCATCAAGGGTGCCTGTAGGGCCTGGGCAGGAATGGGACAGATCTGAGGGTCTCTGGCAGAAGGGGGTGGAACCGGGGCAAGCGCCAAGGCATGGTCCATTTCTTCATTCCTCACAAAGGGTGACACCTCCCCAGCATGCACCCAGGGGGCGGGGCCGACACAGCAGGGGCTGGTTCCTCTCTCTTTCTAGACAACCTTGTGGAGCTAAGACTAAATGTGTTTCAGCATAGATGGCCACCCCAAAATTGTACATTGATTCCCGGCCGGCCTGGGCCAGGGCCAAGGCAGCAGGGGCCGTTCCCTCACTGTTTCCAAGATGGCTTCGCGGGCCACATGAAACCACTTTGCGGGCTGCATCCGGCCCCCGGGCCTTGTGTTTGACATCTCTGATCTAGAGAAAACCTTCTAAAATAGGGGAGTATCATTATCATCCTTAAATTGATGTTTTGAGGAAGTTGCATAATGAAGTAATTGAATGTGTAAGACAAGGCCTTTTGTGTTTACAGTTCATACCCTGAATCACCATCTACATGAGAGCATGGATTGACATAATTCTTGAGTTTTTAATCATATTGTCCCAAGCCTCTCACATTGTGGAAACCCTTTTTCTATCTCTGTTCAGTTTGTTTTAATCTATACTTCTGGATCTATTAGTTTGAGAGACAGCATTGCTATCTTCCAGGGCTCCTTTTTATTTCTTTCTGAAGAAATAATGCTGCAGAGAAAGGAGAAGTAAAAAATAATTGTCCTTGTATTTTTTTCTTTTCTTATAACAGAGTAAAAAAGCAAAGCAAAAAATCCATATCAAAAAGGATGCAAAGTACTTAAGTAAACAACAGGCCCCTGTGAGGAACGAGAAGATGGAACGGCAGCTCCTAGGAGAGCTCTATATTGACAAAGCTTTTCTGGAAAAACTGCTCAAGGATGAAGGTTTTAATTTAATGCATTTGTATAGTGTGGGGCCTGGGAATCACAGAACTACATACCTCATTAGCTTGTCTGCCCCTATGAAATTGACTTTTTCAGGAAAGTGATTTCTTGTCTAGGTTAATAATCTTTTCTGCAATGTGCACTACTAAAATTGTTCCATGGTTAAGGAACATACAATTCATGAAGGGATGATAGCAAAATGCAAAAGCTTGCTACTGAAGTACAAGCACATTTTAACAAGTTTCAAAATCCTCTGGAATATGCAATTTCCTTAGTTGACAAGTCCATGGAAAGGATTGTTGAAGGGAGAGAACTTGACTGGCTCTGTAAGATTACCTTCAAATAGAGCTTTCTGGTGTTGGTAGGCTAAAATAGGGGGGCTCAAATACCAATTGCACACTTTGATTCCTTTCTTCTAAATCTGATTTGAGGCAAGCATCTTAACAAGTGGACTACAGTTATATTTTCAATTTCAAAATAGAAAAGAATAGAGAAAAATGAAGCACAAAAGCAGGAAAGAAAAATGTATGATCCCTTAGTTTCTTGCTGTACTACTCAAAGTTTCCTATTATATCTTACTGATTTTGTGTTTTTGTTCTATTTTTTTAAGGTTGTCTGTTAGGTGTGCTGATATTACATATCAGCAACGGGATAGGTTCTTTGAAGAGGCTGGACTCATATATACATTAAACCATAAAGTGATTTGGTTTTAGTGCTACAGAATGTTTTTGTCAGGCATTATAACCTGCAAACTGTAATGTATGATTTAGTATTATTTGTGAACCAAATAATTATATTCAATCCTTAAAATCTCCAATGAACCAGACAATTATATTCACTGTAAACTAATACTAGATAAATGAAAGACAAAAAGGACAAGTATAAAAAATGGAAAGAGGGACACATAACTAGGGCACAATATCAGCCAATAGCCCGAGTGTGCAAAGATGAAGTGAGGAAAGCTAAGGCTCAAAATGAACTAAGGCTTGTGACAAAAGTCAAAAATAACAAAAAAGCTTCTTTCAACATGTAAAAAGCAAGAAAAAGGTTAAGGAAATTATGGTCTATTAGTGAGAGAAAGTGGCAAGAAGGTGACAAGCAACAGGGAGAAAGCAAAACAATTTGTTTTTTGCACCCGTCTTTACACAAAGGCAAAAAACAGACCAACCTATCAAAGAAAGTACAGTAAAAAACAGATTAGAAACACAAATTAAGATAGGCAAGAAAATGGTAAGTGAGCACCTGTTCACTCTAGATGAGTTCAAATCACCAGGACCAGATGGATTACACCCCAAGGTTCTGAAGGAACTGGCAGATGTGATCTCAGAACCACTGAACTATACCTTTCAAAGATCCTGGAGCACTAGGGAACTACCAGAGCACTGGAGAAGATCTGATGTAGTTCCCATCTTCAAAAAAGGAAAAAAAATGGATCCAGGAAATTACAGACATATCAGCCTGACCTCAGTACCTGGGAAGATTCTGGAAAAGATAATCAAACGACGAATCAGCGAACACCTAGAGGCAAACAAAGTCATTAACAAAGCCAACATGGGTTTGTCAAAAACAGATCATGCCAGACAAATCTTATTGCATTCTTTGACCAGGTGACAAAATTACTGGACCAGAGGAATGCTGTGGATATTATTTACTTGAACTTTGGTAAGACATTTGATAAAGTAGACCAGATAGTAAGATAGAAAAATGAGGGTTAGACAGCATCAGCACCAGATGGATTTGTAGATGGCTGACCGGCCGTCCTCAGTGTGTGGTCCTCAATGGAATTACATCTACATGGAGGGAAATCTGCAGTGGGGTGCCCCAGGGCTCTGTACTTTGCCCAGTGCTCTTCAACATCTTCATCAATGATTTGGATGAGGGGATAGATGGGGAACTCATCGAATTTGCAGATGACACCAAGCTGGCAGGAATAGCCAACACTCCAGAAGATAGGCTTAAGGATCTTGTCAGATTTGAACATTGGGCACTATCTAACAAAATTAAATTAAATGATGAAAAAAGTAAGGTTCTACATTTAGGTAAGAAAAACCAAATGCACAGATACAGTATAGATCAGGCGTCCCCAACCCCCAGTCTGTGGACCGGCACCGGGCCGCCGCATACCAACAACTGGGCCACACAAACAAGTGAAGCCTCATCCGCTGGATGCAGGCAGCACATGAAACCATGCCCCCTCTGGTCCACAGAAAAATCTTTCTTCACAGAACCAATCCCCAGTGCCCAAAATGTTGGGGACTTCTGGTATAGGGGGTACCTTGCTCAATAGTAGTAACTGTGAGAGGGATCTCGGAGTCCTAGTGGACAATCACTTAAATATGAGCCAGCAGTGTGCTGAAGCTGCCAAAAAGCCAACACAGTGCTAGTCTGTATTAACAGGGATAGAATCAAGATCACGTGAAGTGTTAATACCACTTTATAATGCCTTGGTAAGGCCACACTTGGAATACTGCATCCAGTTTTGGTCACCACGATGTAAAAAAGATGTTGAGACTCTAGAAAGAGTGCAGAGAAGAGCAACAAAGATGATCAGGGGACTGGAGGTTAAAACATATAAGGAACGGTTGCTGGAATTGGGTATGTCTAGTTTAATGAAGAGAAGGGCAAGGGGGGACATGATAGGCAGTGTTCCAATATCAGGGGTTGCCACAAAGAAGAGGGAGTCAAGCTATTCTTCAAAGCACCTGAAGGCAGGATAAGAAACAATAGATGGAAACTAATCAAAGAGAGAAGCAACCTAAAACTAAGGAGAAATTTCCTGACAGTTAGAACAATTAATCAGTGGAACAACCTGCCTCCAGAAATTTTGAATGCTCCAACACTGGAAGTTTTTAAGAAGAGACTTACAATTTGTCTGAAATGTTATAGGGCAGGGGTGTCAAACTGCCAGTCCCTGGGCCGGATGCGTCACTCTGAAATTGCGTCCACCCCATTGCCAGCAATGGGGGGAAAGTCGCAATACATCGTGCAATGTCATGTGATGTCGCGAGTTTGACATGCCTGATATAGGGTTTCCTACCTGAGCAGGGTGTTGGACTAAAAAACCTTAAAGGTGGTGGTTATTATTATTATTAATTGGGTAAGCAATACTTGATTCATCATCTTTAGCTGATGTTCTAGTTAATTTGAAAATATCCACATTTTTATAGATTCTAAGACAGCTGCTGAATGTGTTGGACTTTTGTTCTCATAATCCTTAGTTAATATACATATTGGCTGATCAGTTGCCTTTGCTCAGGAAGATTTACAAATGACATACCCATATAAGCCCCGCGTATCTACAGAGGCCAGTATTATTTTAAAAGAGAGATTAGCCCCATATTATAAACCTGTAAGATTTATTTAGTTAAACAATCACTTCAAACTTTTTGAATTTGTATTTGCATGGATTTCTGCTTTGTATTTCAATAGCATTTTTTGCTTGAATGATTTAAAAAGTGATTGAAATATTTTTCTAAGGAAATTTCTTCCTCTGAAAGACTTGTTTCATCTTCATGCTTACTAGTTGTGGGGAATAAACTGCATTTTCTTCCTACATCCATAGATGTACAACAGTTCATTTAGTGACCTATCAAAGTTACAAGAGCACTGAAAAAAGTGATTTATGACTGGTTTTCACATTTATAATCATTGCAGAAGCATCATGATCATGTGATCAAAATTTGGATGCTTGGCAACTGATTTTTTTGATGGTTGCAGTATCCCAGGGCATACTGCAACCTTCATAACCCTCTTGCAACCTTTTAACAAGCAAAGTCAATGGAGAAACCAGATTCATTTAATAATCATATTTCTAACTTAACCACTGCAGTGATTCACTTAAGAATTGTAGCAAGAAAGGTTGTAAAATGGGACAGAACTGAGTTAATAACTGTCTTACTTAGCAATAGAAATTTTGGGCTCAATTGTGGTCATTAGTCAAAGACTACCAGCATATCAACATTTGGAAGTTTTTCTTTAAATAAGCTCTCTTTCAGAACTGTCTGGAAAACATTTATAGGGGAAACCACAGTTGAGAAGAGTACTCTGAGTCTAACAAATATAGTATTTTGACACCAAAAATTGGATTGATAATATATCTATTACTTATCTACTCAAAATAACTCACCCTATTTTTGCCTCTGGCTTTCTTGCAGAGTTGATCAAAAGCGTTACCAAGCAGGGAGTAACTGTTGGAGACTTACTTCAGGAGGGTCTTTCCTACCTGGATACTCGCACAGATTTCTGGCAGCAGCAAAAGCCTATTTATGCCCGGATCAGAGATCGCAAGCTTATGTTGAAAAGATGGACCCGGGATCAAAAGCGGAAACCCTCTGAGGTGGCAAGATACATACTAAAGAGCATGGAGGACATTGATATGCGTAGGTGGCTCAGGTGAAAATGGGGACCAGTTAGAATTTATTAATGGGATTGTTTGTGTGCTGCCTCAAATAAGATAGATCTGCAATATTTACAGAACAAGGATTGTCCTAACTAAGAAAATATGCTTTCAGGATCCTTCCAATTTGTTTTTCATCAAGTCTTTGAAATAATATACTGTATGTAATATGTGTGACTTCTTAATGTATAGAGTATAATATTTTGGTATCTAGGATCATATTTCTTACTAAAAAAATGTCCTCAGCACCTATTAGTAAGTTCTTTGAGTGGTACTTCTTGTTCTTCTAAAATATTATCTCCTATAGCCTCAGAAAGTAGCAGATTCCAAAATCTGTTTTTTGGTATTATCTGAATGCCTTTTGATATTTTCTAGCATTGTTTTGTGAGAGAATTATTCTTTCAGATATATGTGAAATGTATCAAACTGTACCAAACTCCAGGCAAATTTAAGAATATAAGAGAAACACTGCTGCTTCATTTATACTCTAGCATTCTGTGTCACTCATTACCCAATTAGGTTTGTTCATGAAGTTCTCATGCATGGAGAAATCTGGGAGGGCTTTTATTTAGAAAAAGAAAAAAGAAAATAGGAAAAAAAAGAAAAATAAGATAAAATAATAATTACAATTTAATGCACAGGTGCAATAAATGATTCATTTTTTATTATAATTGACATATAATCTAAAACTATAAGCAATGCGTGGAAGTATCTAAGGCTTTTCTTGCTGGTGTTTGAGTTAGATTGCCTGTGATTCAGGAGTTACATACTGTAGGAATCAACTTTAATGGCCATTAATTGTCCTGTCTTTGATGAATGTATCTAGTTTCTTTTTAACACCACTTAAATTAGCTATTATCCTCAAACCTGCTGAGAAAAACTTGATAGTTTGTATTAAATAAGTATTTCATATGATCGTCCTGAATTTCTGTGCATTGTTTCAGTGCATGCATGCTTAATTAGCATATTTGCTCATGCAGAGGTTTTTTTCTTTTTCTCCTAAGTGCTGACCAGTGGCTGCCCTGAAAGAAGTTGCCAGAAAGCTGAGCAAGTACTGAAAAAAATCCAGAGCTGGTCTGATGATGAAATCCCCAACAGGAGCGAGCTGGTTGGAAATCTCTACAGCTGCATTGGAAATGCTCACATTGAGATGGGGAATATGATGGCAGCTTTGCAGAGCCATCGGCTAGATCTGGATATTGCCAAAGAAAAGTAGGAAAGAAGCAATCACCCAGTCTTCCTCTTTCCTGGGAAAAGCAAAATTGCCCAAGGGATTAAGATGTTTTATTTTGTTAATGATTAGAAAACAATGTGTGATCAGCATATCAGTGTATGCACTTCTCCTGAGCTCCTTGGAAGAAAGTTTCCATTGCTAGACAAGTCTGTCCTGTCTAACTTCCCTATAATATCTCTATTATCTTGAGCTTAGAGTTATTTGCAGTGGAGTGGTTAAAAAAGATAAAAGTAAGGAGTTTTCCACTGTATTACTTTCTCTCAATTGCTGAGGCCCTTTAATGACATTTTATTATTTAGGGACATTGATTCCAAGATTTATGATTAACCTATAGTTTCAAGATAATCATTTTACTGAATTAAATTATTTCTGCTGTGATTTCACTCTCCAATGATCAAAAAAATTCAGCATTAGCCATTAAAAAAGGTTGAATTGCAATCCTTACCATATTGCTCTCTTAAATATATAAAAGATTTTTTTAAATAAATAAGTTCTTAACAAATAATTTAAAAATGATCCATATCATATAATTGTTTTATTTAATCTCCTTTTTAATCAGTTATTGATATAATTGATTTGTTCTTACAACACTTTAAAAAGCAGAATAATATTCCAAGCCTGCTCTGCTGCTTTGCTGGGGCCCTTTGTACTCTTTAAAGCAGAAATAGGCAACTTTGGCAGAAGCAAAAAGATACCCATCTTAGAGAGAAAAAAATTATTTTGATCAATGATCAGCGTAGAGTAAGAAAAAAATACAACAATATACAATACATTCTCCATATAAAATTAATAAGGGGAATTAAATATAATGAAAAGTTACAAATATTAAATCTATAAAAACAAATTCAACTAAACCTATACAGGTAGTTCTCGGAATACCTCCGGTCACTTAACGGCTATTCAAAGTTACAATAGAACCCACAAAAGTTACATATGAACCTGTTTCAAAGTTATGGTGGCTGCAGTGTACCTGCTGTCATTCACTCTTATGACCAAACACAAGGATCCCACCCCCTTCACTTCTCTCCCCCCATCCTGTCCTGACTGGATCCTGTAGTGCTCTGGCCTGTTCCCCAGACCTCCTGGAAGCAGCTGTCATTTTCAGTGCTTCAACAATTTCTAGCAGAAATGGCAGCTGCTTTCCGAGCTTTGTACTCTGCTCAGCTGGCCATTGAGAGACTGCAAACCTTCCCAGGCTCTTGCTGGGCTTTTGGAAAGCCAGCTGCCTGCATGCAAAGATAGCAGCTCCAGGATGCTTCCTAAAATCTTTCCCTTGCTTAAGTGCTGCCTATATGATTCCCTTTAGGACCCAGCTTCTGCTGTGGCCATTTGTTGCACGTTTGTGCTATAGCTGCTTTTTCTTTTGAGCTGAACTTTTGTTCATCTCCTCCACACAAATAAGTTGCAGGAAGATTTTTTTTTTTTTTGCTTGCATTCTTCGTTTCTTCTACTCTTCAGCCTGGCAGTCACTTGTCAAGCTAAAAACTTAACAGTTTTTGTCATCAGCTTTCCAGACCTGCAGTAAATTAGCAAATGAGGTGGTTAAATGGGATGAGATTGGAGTGCAGAGGTGGAGAGTTTAGTTTCAACACCTTGGGACAGGAGAGAACAATCAACAAGTATGTCTCCCAGCTTTTTTTTTTTTTTTTGGTTTTTTTATTGAAATGAGGGTTTCTGGAGGAGGAAAGGGGTTAAGCAAAGGAAACATTGCTCCTCCCAATGTTCAGCTGTTAGGGCAGAGGTCCTTTTCCCACAGAGGCTTGTTTGGAAGCCTCTCTGATATTGGAATATGGCGCTAGGCTTAATCTAGCTGGGCCGTTCCCCCGACTGGGATATTTTTGCTTTGTAAAGCTTTTTATTGCTTGTCTCCCTTTAGACCACTGATGGCGAACCTTTTAGAAACCGAATGCCCAAACCGCAACCCAAAACCCACTTATTTATCGCAAAGTGCCAGGGGCCCATCAGCATTATGGTGCCCTCGGGGGGGGGCATGCAAAAACCAGGGGTGCAAAAATGGGCCACCGTGCTGCAAGGTGCAAAAACAGCCATCGCTGCCCCGCGGGGTGCAGATACAAGGCGCTGCACCAAGCAAGAATGGGGCAGGGCTACTATCACGCATGCACTAGCCCCGCCTCATTTGCAGTGCATGCATACTCGCGGCCCCGTGTGTACACACACACATGTAAAATACTTCCCCCTCCCTTTTCTTCCAGTCTGCCAGTTGACAGTGGTTGGTGACCTCTGCTCTACCACCTCTACTCGAACTTGCTAGTCAGCCACTTCACCTCTTTTGTGCTGGGCGGGACTCCTGCTCCGGGCAGTGGTGGTGGCCTGATGGACCTGCTGCTTGCGGCGGCGGCACGTGCCAACAGAGAGGGCTCTGAGTGCCGCCTCTGGCACATGTGCTATAGATTCGCCACCACTTCTTTAGACTGAAGTGAGTGGTAGGCTTCCCAGGACCTCATCCACCCATGAGGTACTCCATACTTGTTTAATGATCCATGCATTTGAATAACTGGCATCAGGGAGAACAGAGGCTGGAAGCCATTACGTGAGTCTGTTTAACATAATAGTTGTCACCACTTGTGATTGTAGTGGACAGCAAAATATTGTGTATCCTTTTTCAGGTTTGGAAGATGAGAAGGGATATTCTCACAGGCTGGAACACATCTATTCAGTTCATTATAAATAGGCAACATTGAGAAGTTTCCCCTGTTAAATTTTGGAAATGTAAATTGGGGTTGCAAACTGGAGGCAGAGGTCACACACATACTACAAATCACAAACTGCCATTCATGTTTTAAAGTATTGTGCACATTCATAGTGCACTATACATTAATGCATAGAAATAATATCCAAGATTGATGATAGTTGATGGGATATTTTTGTAATAGTATCAGATCATTTGCTTTTGTCTTTTTTGCAGCAACTTGACTGATGCCATCTCCAGAGCCCTTGACAACATTGGTCGAGTACATGCCCGTATGGGCAACTTTCAGGAAGCCATTGATACGTATGTGGAAGTCAAACAGTGATAAGGCCTTTGTCCTATTTTAACTTTACTTGATTATAAATGATCAAGGAGAGCAATTCAGTTAAAGAAAAGTAATGATATATTAACAGCTATTAGAACTGATTTCTGCCAGGGATATAGAATGGGAATCCAGGTTAGTGGGAACTTGTAGCCTCCAAATGCCATCTCATCAATCCTAGCCAACACACTGTTAGGTCATTGGGAGGAACAGAGACCCCTCACTCATAATCTAGTGAATGTCCCAAAGAATGAGAAGATGCAGAAAAATTAATGTTAAAGGCTGAAATTACTACATTAAGAAAAATTTATTATTATGGAAACTTGAAATTGTTTTTCCCCTGAAAACCGGCTTACCATATATGGATGATTCTTGTATAATCCCCATTCCTGACAAATGCTAAAATTTGCCTCCTGAAAATCTTAGCTGCCAATTCCCAATGGTGACAGATATTTATCAGCTCTCCTTTAAATCTATAAGGCCCCACCATTTTAATCATAATCTCTAATCTCTGAATCTCATATCTGACCCACCCTTAACAGAGTTGTAATCATTTGTAACAATCATATAAAAATAGAAATCAGGAATCTTGGCAGAAGCTTTATGGGAGTCTAGAATAATGTTTTTAAAGGCTAAATTTATTTTCTGTAAATAAATCTTTACATTTCTTTTTTGCAAAGCTGGGAGGAAAAGATTCCTCTTATGAAGAGTAACTTGGAGAAAACTTGGTTATTCCACGAAATTGGCAGATGCTACTTAGAACTCAACAAAGCAGCTGAAGCTCGAGACTATGGTGAAAAGTCCTTGCAGTGCGCAGAGGAAGAGGGAGACATTGAGTGGCAGCTCAATGGTGGTGTATTGGTGGCACAGGCACAGGGTAAGTTACTTTGCATAAGCTTTACACCCAAATGTTTATCTTTACTGGCTGGACTGAGTCTGTTTTACGTAGCAGAGTTCCTCCTTCTTTTCTAATGAAAACCCATTTATCATTATTTGCTATATAAGAGAATCTCCACAGATAGGCTTAGTTTGTTGCGGTAGAGAAAATTGCCACCTACTATTCAACTCAGCAACTTCACTTAGCCAAGATATTGACAATCATGCATATGCTCACTGTTAAAATACAAATGAGTCCAACTCAGATTGCTGTTTAAAACTACAGGATTGCTTCTATGTCTTAAAAACATAGTGATCTCTTAACTTTAAAAGGATGAAGGGAGACAACTAAACATCCAGTTAACTGCTTTTAATTCCTGCATTCAAAAGGACTTGATCTAATGAACTCTGTTATTATACAAAAAGTTTAAAATGTTATTGATATTAAAAATTAAAACCCAAATACTGTTCTTCTCAAATCCTGGGCAGTTTTTACATTAGGTAGGTAATATCTTGTTTCCTGTACAATACTCAGTTTGGAAATGTGTCACGTGAACACTATCTGTGTCAGTTTCTGTGTCAGTTTTTATCTATTCATAGTTAAACTGGAGGATTTTCAGTCTGCAGTCACATACTTTGAAAAGGCTCTAGAGAAGGCAAAACGTATCCATAATGATGCAGCTCAGCAGGCAATCATCATTGTAAGTAACACAAAAATGGAGGGTGGAAAAAAATTGCATGAAGGTTTAGGACCAATGATTTATTTTTATGGTAAGTTGATAAGATAAATTGGGATTTCCCAAAGTGCAGCTTATGGCTGCCCAGAGTTTGGGAAAGTAAAGTAGTACATGACATGTGATGCCCCTGTTCAGGAAGATAGTAAATCTAGAAGACCACATTCTATTTTTCACATTTATGATAGTTCCAGCATCTCCATGGTCATGTGATTTACATTCGAATGCTTGACAACTGGTTCATATTTATGACGGTGTCAGTGTCCAGGTGGGCATGTGATCACCTTTTGTGACCTTCTGACAAGCAAAATCAATGGGGAAGCCAGATTTACTTAACAGCCGAGTTACTAACTTACCAACCGAAATTGTTGGCTGACTATTGTTGAAGAACTCAACAGATCTCTTCATTTGTTCTAAGAAGTCAATAAAGCTGAGACCTGTGTTTGTCAAGAGCCACTACATTTTCTTCCAATTTCTAATCACATGCTGCACAATTTACCAGATCCAACAACTTAATTGTTTTCCCAGTTTTCCATTCAACAGAGTCTTGTGACACCTTTCTGATGACTGGAAGATGCCAGATAACTGTGTTTGACATACATATGTGAGTTTCCCTGTGCCACTCTCTTTAAAGAAACAAAACAGGGTTACATCTCCAATTCCTATGCTTTTTCTGGTTAATCATATCTTACAAGTACACATATTGATGACACTGTTTCAGTGTGTAAATTGAACACTAAAGAAACTAAGTATGCAAGGAGAATATCTCTTAAAATCTTTATGAAGTTTCTCTTGGGTATTCAGACTATATTTTTTTCCAGGCTCTGGATGAAGCCAACAAAGGGTTCATCAAAGAGTTGAAAGAAGAACAGAGACTTGAGAGAATGCGTGAATTGAAAGGTTGGTATATGTACCAAGTTGATTACAGAATATTCCAGGCAAACATGTTTTGCCAGGGTTCCATTCCTTCCTTTCTGGTTTTAATCAGCTGTGGTAGGGGAATGGAGGTCAGCTTGATGGTCCTTCAATTATGAGGGTATGATAAGGATATTCTCCCCCACCCCTTGCTTTTTAATATCTGTAAGAAATCACTAAAAGAAGTCATCCAACAATTTTGGATGTGGTGGCATTAGTGTGCTAAGAATAATAATATATATATATTGCTACCTTGGATTGTGGGGAAAACGCTGTTGAAGTTTTGTCCTGATGTCTGAAGGCTGTGACAGTCCAAATGGAAGGTAACAGCTCAAATTTAACCCAAGCAAAATGGAGTTGCTATTTGTACATTGGGATTCTCCTTAGGTGCCAAGCAATATCCCTGTTGAACAGGCACTACCTATCCAGCTGTAGGTTTGTGACTGGGGGGGGGGGTTCTTCCAGACTCCTGGCTTCTGCTTGAACAGCATGTAGAGGCTTCTAGTTGTGGAAACTTTTAACCAACTTTGGCTTATACACCAATTGTTTTCTTACCTGGAACAGACAGAACTAGTGACAATAATGTTTTCACAGACTACTGCAATTTGTTTTACATGGAGCTCTGTTTAAATAATTATCTAGAAATCACAGTTAGTCCAGTCTAAGGCATCTTGTGTCTTAATTGGCTCCCAATCTGGGAGCAAGTTGTACCTATATTGTCAGCTCTGCACTGGTTACAGTCAAATAGAAATGTATGTGTTAATCTGCAAAGTATGACTTGACAACTGAGTGCCTATGGGACTTTCTCCTTTACTGGGTTTTGTATAGCCCACGGTTTGGCAACCTGCGATTCCGGAGCCACATGTGGCTCTTTGAACCTTCTCCTGCGGCTCCTAGCCTCCTCTGCCATTTGCAGAGAGAGAGAGAGAGACAAAGAGAGGCACTTATGCTTCCCTTCTCTCTCTCTCTCTCTCTCTGTGTGTGTGTGTTTAAAAAAGAGAGTGGCCTCACACTGTTCTCCGACGAGCTGACAAGCTTATTGGGCAGGGCTCCTCCCTTTACTGCATCTTTGCAGGAAGCAGGAAAGACAGGAGAGAGCTAGTCCAATAGGAATTTGTGTCAGATTGTTGGAGAACAGCCTGAAGCCAGCTTACCAGGTGAGCAGAAGATTGGAGAGAGGGAGGGGGGAGGGGGAGAGAGAGAAAGAGAAAAAAAGAGAGAGAGGGAGGGAGAGAAAAGAGCAAGAGAGGGAGAGAAAGAGAGAGGGGAAGAGAGAGAAAGAGAGAAAAAGAGAAAGGGAGAGAGAAAAAGAGAAAGGGAGAGGAAAGAAAAAAGGGGTAGAAGGAGAGAAAGAGAAGGAGAGGGAGAGAGAGAAAGAGAGAGAAAAAGAGGGGGAGAAAGGGAGAGAAGAAAGAAAGAGAGGGAGAGAGGGAGAGGAAAGAAAGAGAGAGAGAGAAAGAGGAAAGAGAAAGAGAGAAGGAGAGGAAAGAGAGAGGGAGAAAGAGGGAGGGAGAGGAAAAAGAGAGAGAGAAAGAGAGAGGAAAGAAAAAGAGAAAGAGGGAGAGGAAAGATAGACAAAGAGAGATAGAGGGGGAGAGAGAGGGAGGGAGAGGAAAGAGAGAGAGGAAAGAAAGAGAGAGAAAAAAGAGGGAACAGTCAATAGTATTTCAGATGTTCAGGGATCCAAGACAGATTAATTAAAAGAGGTAATACACTATTAATCCTATTGTGCTGAACAGAAAATAATGGATAAAATGTGCAAGTAGACAATTTTAATTAAAAGTACAAAATCTCTGATAAGTCTCTATTACCTGCATTTGTAAATAAACACTACAAATGTATTTAATACATAATAATCATGTCTCAAAAAACAATGAGCAACATTAAATGTTGGAATGCAATGATTTTGGATTCTGTATTAAAAGTGAATGAATAAGCATTGCAAATGAATAAGCATTGCAGCTGCATAGAAAAGCTTGTCCTATAGGTGGTAGTATTTCTCCAGTCTTTTATTTTTGGTTAGTAGGTAGCACTGCATTTTTCTCTTTTTGATTGACCACATTTTTATATTTGATTTTAAGTTTAAACTTCAGTGTTGGTATTAATTCAGCATAGAAGTCTTCATTTCTTTTCTAGAATGAATATCTGAGGATTGTTGAGTGGACCTCCTGTCTTTCTATTTCTGATAAGTCAGGAATCTCTATATCTTTATGCCCACTGTCAAAAAACAGTTGCATATTGTAAGGGAGGGTACAAAAGAATAATATAGCTGCCCTCAAAGTTCTGAATAGGAAATTAAAAGCCATCCGTTTATGTTTCTTTTATAATTATCCTCATTTTTTTTCCTTAGTAATCCTGCCTCTCCCATAGCTGTAAAATGGAAATATGGCTGAGAAGTCATAAACCTGAGAGTACACATGGATATAAACATTGAAATTTTATTATTTCCCAGAATTAGAAGATGAAGAGGAGGAAGAAGAAGAGTTGGAGGAGGAAGAACTCAAGAGAGATGCAGACGATACAGAAAAAAAGGAAACTGAGAAACCTGAATCTGAAGAAGTGAAAGAGGTATCACCCCAAGAAGAAGAAGAGACGCTTGCGTCTGGGAATGGGGAGATGCAACAGATGGAGGGAGAACCAGATCCAGGAGAAACTGAGAAGAAAGGAGAGGAACAGGAAGAACCTGGGGGAGAATCTGAGAAAGAATTAGAACCTGACCCAGAAAAACCGAGTGAGGAAACTATAGGATAATTGCTTTTGGTTTGTTGAAAATTGCTTTTGGTTTGTAATTTAGGACCTGTCTTGTTGTGGTAATCATTTTACCTCACAATATTTTCTCCCCACATTATTGCTTGTGATGTTCAGGCTACTAAATAAAATGCAAATAAAATAATTATTGTATATAATTTTATAAAGAGGTTGCAAGAAAATAGGAAATATACGTTCATATAGGACTCTTTAAAAAGTTTGGTTAATTGAAATAAAGAGCAATAATTTTGAGCATATTTCATTTTATATTTTTATATTGTTTTCCACTAAATAGCTCAACCAATTAAAGTTAATCTTAGATACAAGACAGCTAACTGATTGAAGGATTTCTCTGATCAGTTCGCATTATAAATCTGAATTTAGGCAAAAGACAGCAAGCATCTGCAGAATAAAATCTTTCAGTAGTGATAATTTTGGATATTAAGTTGCATAAGAGGTCCTGTTGTACAGATGTGAGTTCTACCCAGATTTTGGAATCTTCCTTCTGCAAAAGCTGAACCATATATTTAATACTTTTCTATGTGGAAGAGAAGTTACTAAGAAATATATTTGTGAATGCAGGCAAGTAAGAAAATAAAAGCTATTCAGAACCTAATAGTAATAGACATCTGTATATGAAAATGCTGCTTGTCAGTATCATAATTCCTTGGCATGAATGGGATATTTGTATTTTTCTGGGCACTCATACATAAGAAATTCAGAAAAGGGGTGAATTGTCCCAGTCAAACTATTGTTGGGAATTAGCACTTTAGACGTGGAGCTTTTTCTAGATTAAGATAATCCAGAACATGTCTTTCAAACACTGCAAAATTTAAAAAATCCTGCCTTAGCAATAATCTCCCTAAGTATAATGGTTTAGTGAAACGGCTTTGAGAATTAGATAAGCCGACTGGAGGGATAAGTTCCAGAGTCTGCCATTGCCTATATTAGGCAACATTCTTTGAAGATTCTCAGTCATCCAAACCATGGTTGTCCCAAAGATGCTTTTTTGAAAAGGCAATTGGACTTTCTTTGTTTTTCCTTGAAGACGTTTCTCTTCTCATCCAAGAAGCTTCTTCAGTTCTGACTGAATGGTGGAGAATAGAAGGATTTATATTCCTCGCAGCCATCTGGTTGTTAGCACTCAAGTCCAGACGACTGTGAGAATATAAATCCTTCCATTCTCCACCATTCAGTCAGAACTGAAGAAGCTTCCTGGATGAGAAAAGAAACGTCTTCAAGGAAAAACAAAGAAAGTCCAGTTGCTTTTTGAAAAAGTGCCTTTGGGATATTTCAGCAACAGCCATGCTGGGCAGCCAGTTCTGAGAGCTGCAAGTCACACATCAGCAGAGCACACAAGCCCAGAAGGCTGGTCTATATAGAAAGCAGCCATTCCATCTGATTGCTCCAGTAACAGCCCAGCATTCTCAAAACTCCCTCGCTGAAGTTAAAGGGATTTCCATGTAAGTAGGTAGACAGCTTCAAATTTAGAAAAGCTAACCCATAGTTCTCAACAGCTTGTGTTTCATCTGTTGGCTGAGGTTTTTAGGACTTGTCTTTCAAGAAAATCTGAAGAGTCAGGGTTTTCACATGTGGAATGTGCAGAATTTGAAGAGAATGCAGGACTAGTCACTAGATATTTATGTGATTATGTTCCTATATAAAATATCCAATCTGCTTTCCATTCTTGCAAATCGTCATGCAACATTGTTACTTTCAGCAGGCAAAAACCCCAGTAAGGCAATGATGACTTTTCTTAAGATAGTGATAGAGCCTCGCGGCCAATGATTATGAGCAATATAATCCCAAACCTCTGAACAAAATCTTGTTGAGGTATATTGTACACTGTTAAGACTCAAAAAAACCTGTGGCATTTTGCTTCTAAACATTCCTTCATCTCCCATTTCATATTTTTCCTGACAATGAGTGTGCTTATTTTCCATTGTGGAGTTTATACTCGGGTGGATGTGTATTCTTACATTTTCTGTTTCACTTCCTTTTGTAAGTTTTGGGAGTCCTCCACACTTTGTTTCCTTGTTCTTTAGTTACCTCCCCCCCCCCCCAATTATCCGGAGGCTTTCCTCAGCAGACTTTGCTCTTAGGAGTGGGGCTTATTTTTGTTCCTTTTGGGTCTTCCCCTAAAACTGAAAAATTCCCTTCCCTCCGCTCACATTTTTTGTTTATTCCTCTAAAAAAAAATGCAATAGAATAAACAAAACGCGGAGCTGGACAGGGCATAACCGCGCTATCACCCCTTGCTGCCCGGGGCGGGGTGGGGGAAAGCAGATGGGCAGTCCCAGATCTTCGCCTTCCCGTCTCTGTTGTACCAGGCAGGGACTGGAGGGCGTGGCTTCTCCGCTTCCGTTCCCATTTGGGCTTATAAAAACCGCTTCGAGCGCGTTCTCTCCGCCTGAATGCAAAGAAGCCCGCCGGCGGTTTTGCAGCTGCCTAAGTTCCTGATTCCGGTACCTCGCCCCATCCGCTCGGTGTGGCGTTGCCATGGTGAGTTTGGGTGGTATGAATTCTGCAAGACCCGGAGCAGTGTTTCTCAACCTTGGCAGCTTTAAAATGTGTGGACTTCGCACATTGTTGGACGGGGTAGCTAGAGCTGAAGTCCATATGTCTTAAAATTGTTAAGCTTGAGAAACACTGCACTGGAGGATGCCACCTCCCACAGACATTTATTGCAGGATGAATTATTGGACGGATTGCTGTTTAGAGAGATTAAAATTTTTAACTATTGAACTTGGACACAAAAAGCACAGGAAACTCGAGATTCAATGAGCATAGATAAGAAGCGATCCTGCCCTGGTCCTAGCTTGAGTGCAGTTTGTGCGAGATAATGCAAACTGTGAAACGTTGTGAACTGGAAGGGTAACAACAAGAAATCTGAGATCTGTTCTGGTGGGTAGAAGCACAGGTAAGGTGTGCCCAGTCCTATTCAGCTGTCTGGATCTAGATGTTTCTTCCTCTGAGAGAGAAATGCAATATGTGTCTGATGGCATTTGGTTGCACATAGGCAAAGCTAACTGTTTAACAGTTTCCTGCCTGGAGAAGATAGAAAAAATGAACATAACATGACCTCAATTTAAAGGGAGGAAACATAAAGAGAGGTAACTTGAGGACAGGTATGAATCTAGGAAGAAATTCAAATCCTAAATTGAGAGTTCTATGACCAATCTTACTTTACTTTCTCTACATTCTGGCTGACATGCTTTATGTGTGATTTATCTGTTTGCAAGAGAATATATTTTTATCCAGGATGGAATATGTATACACTTTTGTAATGTTTGAATATTGTAAAAAAATACAGTCTTAATTTGCCAGGGGGAATTCAGTAATCACAAAATAAATCAGCTTCAAACAGATTAACGTGGATTGATGATTGATATGCTTTATAAAATTCACAGAAAGTTGATTTATAAATCAGGAGTACTGTGAAATCTGGAATTAATGTATTCCACAAAAGCACACTCCAATCTGTGTCCAGGTGAGTAGACTTCAATTCCCCAAATTTTCAACACTGGCCCTGCTGGCTGGACATTTTTGAAATCCACATTCTGAAAAATATTCAGGTCAGTTTATATTGACGAAAGAGTTTTTATTTTATGAGTAAAATTGGGAATTTACACTGAACATCTGCATCTGTGTGTGGATTTTTGACAAAAGTTCAGCTGATTTTTGAAGTGTGCACTGACATGGACTGTGTAGCGGGTATACACCATTTTTACTAGAACACTAAATATAGTGTATTTATATACATTAAATACACTATAAATACAATAACTTGTATTTATAGTAACAGTACTTACTTTATTATCAGCCCTGCTCCAATTTCTTGATCCGCCACTCGTGCCTGATTCTCCTCCCTTCCTCAGTAGAATTCAGAATAGACAGTGTCTCAAGTCTACACATTCCTTCTCTATCCACCCAAGCTTATTGCTGCACAGATGCTGCATACTTTAGTCTGATGTGGCTTATATGGAGGTTTTTTTCCCCTTTATTCATGGCTGGCACAGCTAGTGTGTATTTTGAACAAATTGGTTTTCTGTTCCACATAAACAGTTAACCAGCTGTGCAAACACATGGTTGATATAAAAGGGAAGTGCTTCTTTGTAAAGACTTCTCAAGCTTTTAGTGTTCTGCGTTTATGGTTTCAAAACATTGCAAGGAAAATGCTTACTTTCAAAATGTAATAGTTTTTTTTAAGACAAACCTATACATGTTAATCCTTCATTTTATTTTTATAAAACATTAAAATGGCCTTATCATACTTCAGGCAAACAGAAAAAAAAACTAGGCAAATATTTTGGTGTCAAAAGTCAGAAAGCTTTTTAGGGGAATTCCATTAGTTCTACATGTAACCTCATCTCTAATTCCTTTTTATTGGAAAACAAAACATGATCAAATGTAGACTCTGATTTTTTTATTTTATTTTTTTTGCAGTTAAAATACAAGGCACTAGTCATATACAATGAACACCCAAATAAATGGACTCGGATAGCAAATGGTTTAAAATTACCATCAGGAGAGTCAATTGCTTTTGCTTTTGTAATTGGAAAGAGCTTTTAAGGAGATTATTGCCCATTTTAAGGTGGATAATTCTTTTATTTTTTTATTTATAAAATGCCAAAATGCAAACAACATCAGTGGGGGAAAAATCCAATAGTAGTTACATATTTTAAAAATGCCTACATCTACTATAGAGATTAACACATAACTCTAAATTACAAATATAAAAGCGGGGAAATAATATAAATATCTACATAATATCCATTTAGTATCAATATGGGATTATTTCCATTCTTAAACTTATTATTGAATCTGACCCATGTAGAAATATATTGTTTAATCTTCTTAGTTTTAGAATATTAAAAGTTTTCAAAAATAAACAACAGATATTCTGAAGCCATTACTTAATACCAGTTTCTTTATATTTATGTAGGATTGTCTGCTTTGCCAAGCCCAAGGCTTAGTAGAACTAAAGTTCCTCACAAAAAAAAAAATTTCATGTTTTGGAAATATAATTTAACATCACATATATGTTTATTTCATTTCTTTTCAAAACTGTATTAATATATCTTAGGATTTGAAATAAAAATAAAGCTATTGTTGGACAAGATCAAATTGTTTGAGTTTCTTACAAATCTGGCACAAAAATCTGATATCCAATCTTTTAAATGCCTAACCCTTAGAGAGGTCCAATAAACACAAATTATTTTTTCTGATGGAATTCATTTCATTTCATTTTATTCTTAAATCAAAAGTGGACTTTACATAACTGAACCTGTTGAGCTTCCAAGATTGAATACTCCAATATTTTCTTCACATTTCAGGTATAGAATGATGATATTCATTTTAGCATAACTTAGAATAGAATAACTGGAATAACAGGGTTGGAAGGAATTTTGGAGGTCTTGCGAGTCCACCCCCTAGTTCAAGCGGGAGGCCTAGACCATTCTAGACAAATGGTTGTTCAATCTCTTCTTGACAACCTCCAGTGAGAGTGCATCCACAATTTCTGGAGGTAAGCGGTTCCACTGATTAATTGTTCTCATTGTAAGGAAATTTTTCCTTAGTTAAAGGTTGGATCTCTGATGATTTTCCACCTGTTACTTGTTCTGCCCTCAGGTGTTTTGGAGAGTAGGTTCTCTGTGAGAGCCCTTCAAGAACGGGAAGACTGTTATCCTGCTATCCTTATTCCTCCACTTTGTTAGACTAGATATACCTAGTTCCCTCAACCATTCATCATACAGTTTCAATTATATTAATGTTGCCCAAGAGACTGAATGGAAGTTTTAACCACAGAGTTATGTTTATACTTAAATTATTTATGTTTTGGGTAAAACTACGTTATTTTAATACATCTCATGTCTGCAACTGGCCCTTGTGAACCTTGAGTGGCTGAAAGAAAATTCAGAGAAAGAAGACTCATATAGAGGCATACCAGGCAGCTTTTAATTGGCTAGATAGTCTGTCCAATGTGTTTTTTTATTATGAGTTATGTGTGATGGTGTAAATTAGCACATAATATAATGAGAAATGAAACTGTTCAGAACTGCAGATGATACCTGGAAAATGAGTCATGGGAATTGGACTTCTTTTCTTTTTTGTTTTGAAATGTTTTGCTGCTATCCAAGAACTGTAGCTTTTTCAGTCAGACTGGAGAATAGAATAGAATAGAATAGAATAGAATAGAATAGAATAGAATAATCAGGATAAACACTAATCAGGATACATTGAGGACCCAGATTGTTGGGGGCAATGTAAATATATATATATATATACATTGCTTACTGGTGTACAACGCTTAGAGAATGCTTGCACTTAAAGCGGTATATAAGTCTCATAAAATAAAATAAATAAAATAAATTAAAATGAAATTTCATTGCTTATAGCTCTCAAAGGGTCACCACCTCCGATATACATTACATAAATGTGTCAAAAATAAATAAATAAATAAATAAATAAATAAATACAGAATTATGCATATACTTGGATAAGCAGTGAAACGTTTGAAACCCAAAAAATGAAAAGAAGTCCAATTGCCATGACTCAATTTCCAGAAAACTCTATTTGGATGACTGAGAATCTATATCAACATATTGCAAATGGTACTTCGTAATTATTGACAAAATACATTTAATTAAATGTAAGAATTAAGCAGATAATTAGATTTACTAGTCCAAGAGTTTATTTTTCAGACTTTCCATGCCTAGCTAAATGTTGTGGTGGACATAGTCTTCCAGAATCATGCAAGATATTTAGTTGGAAACTAAATGCTAAACACATCTTTAAAAGAATTTTAAAACAATGCTTTTGCTTGTTGATTGTTTAGGAATCATGTGTTATCTGCTATTGTTGAGCAGTTTTCCTAAGAACATGTGAAATTAGTTCATGGGAATTGTAATATTAAGTAGGATAAATAAAAATAGATTTTCAGTTTATTAGGTAAGAGTAGGTATATGTTGCTGGTTAGATTCTACTTTCTGTTTTGTCTTGGTAATAGTAGATGTTCATTTGCTCTTACACAAGAGCAGATCTACAATGGGCCAAAAAATTAATTTTCTGTTTTTGTGACATTTAATAGAAAAATATACGTGTAGACAAATTTTTATATATCACTTTTTTCAAATTAAAATTTGCCTTCAATTCTATTTCAAGTAATAGACTGTAATAGAAGTTCCCCCTTTCATCTGTTCACCACAGCTACTTTCACTAATCAGGATGCTGCATGAAAGGACAGTCAGCCAGGTGAAGAACAATAAAGTTGGCTTCATTCTGCAGACATTTCAATCTGCTGAGAAGTGAAACTGAGATGTATTTTAGTTCCCCGACTGTTTAATATTTATGTAAATTCAGTGGTTTCTACTCTTACCCAAAAAGAATTTTATCCCCTTAAGCTCAGAGACAGACATTTGGCAGTGCTGTTGTGTGCCAACAATGCGACAATTCTGTCTCTTACACAGGTGAGCCTTAAGAAAAGTTTGCAGGCCTTAGCAGAATTCTTCAGGGAGGATTCTTACAATTAATTGCTCCAAGATTAAAATTATGGTGTTTTTTTAAAAAAAACTAGTTGCAATAAACATCAATGGCAATAGGAATTAATAAAATAAAAGTTCTGTCTTTCAAATATTTTGGACTAATTTTTCAAGCCACTGGAAGTTGGCTGCAACAACATTTCTACCAAATTGCCTACCTATAATAGTGCCAAGGCAATAGCAATAACACTTATATACTGCCCCACAGTGCTTTACAGCATTATCTTGGCAGTTTACAATGTTATCATATTTCCCTCAACAATCTGGGTCCCCATTTTATCAACCTCAGAAGAAATGGGAGGCTCAGTCAACCTTCAGGATCAAACTCCAGGTTGTGGGCAAATTTGCCTGTAATACTGCCTTCTAATCACTGCACTAT